TACAGATTTATTAGCTGAAGCCGGGGCCCCCGGACAGCCACCACTCAGCACTCCTTTAGATCAATAATTGGAAATATTAATTATATCAGCAGAGACGGCGCAGTCAGAAGCGGGCTGTTTATGCTCCTATTACGGAGCAGTGCAGCAACATGAGCTTTGATGGCCCGCTAATACGTATTAATGATCCCAGGACAAACATTACTCCATATTAAACCTGAGTGAAAGCCAGAAGACATCACACATATTGTTTGGCTATTAGAGTTATTTTATTGCAAGCACTGTAAGTAAGTGCTGTTCCATAACTGCTGTAAAAAGACTTTTACTACTGAGAGCTTCTGCAAAACTAGGACAAGATTGAGTGCAATTATATTCCTATTTACTGCATTCGGCTGTAGTGCAGGTCGGCTTTTTTTGAATTGTGTTAAAGTTAAGGACTATAAAAGTATTGAGGCTTGGAATTGAAACTCTTTCCAAAGCAGTATTATTGTCTTGCTACTGGAACTCTCTGGGGTCTCAGCCGAGAGAAGTCTGGGACTCGGTACATTTCTATCCAGCTAAACTCCACTAGTCATGAACTCATTACTGTCAGTGCCAACAGTGGACTCTATATCCTCCACACTACTAACAGGCCGAGTCCTGACTACAGTTCCTTGCTCTGTGTCATTTAAAATCAAACAGTGGAATGCCTTTGGTGGCCGCAGCCCAAGGCCTTGGTCCTTTCTGTGGCTAATAATAGTTTCATTAGAAAGACTTTACTTCCAAGCGAGGCCAAAGTTTGCACGAATACTGGCATATCATACAATCAGAGGAAGAGTGGATCTGTAAATGGATCATGTGTCTCTTAAAGGATGTTATTTGCCTTCTTTCTAAGACTAGTTTTGATTTTGATTTGATTATATTTATTTCAAATGTGTAATACAAAAATGTAACATGATAATTATTATGGATCGACCGATATGGCTTTTTCAAGGCCGATACCGATTATTAGTAATCAAGGAGACCGATAACCGATATTTGGAACCGATATACATTTGCAGTAAAATCTTGGTGTCAAAATGTAGAATAACACAACTTCTATGAAATGCCTTTTTATGTTTAATGAACTTTTCAACATCTTAAAACTGGTTTCCTCTCTGTGACCCTGAGTAAAGTAAATTAAGTAAAAAATAAAATAAAACCTACTAAAACTTGTTCTCAACTTCTGATATTTGAGTCTCACTCATTTAGTAGTCCCAATTCAGCAGCACCAGATTGTGGTGCAGAAAGCAGAGTTGCCGCGAGGCTCCACTAGCAGCCGTCACAGCCGTCCCAGCGCGTCCCAGTTTCTCCGCTGCGAGACGCTACCCTCAATACAAAATTGAGCAGTGTCAAATTGATATACAAAAATATTACTGATTCTAAATTATATATAAACAAATGATCTACTTAATTACACATCCGAAAAGTACTAGTCACATGTAGGCGCATCAATTGATAACTAGTTTGAGTTGAATAATCAGCAAAGAAAGGCAAACCAACAGGCAATGTGTGTATAATCCAGGCCCACTGCACACTTCAATGTGTACTTTAGGCCTGGGGGTTTATGTCTCACCCTCCATATAAAACAGCATACTAGTGCAAAGAGCTTTAATTCAACAGACTCAAGGCTTAACTTGGTAAATGAGTCGGCTAAATAAAAGCATATGGAACTATAGATCGTCAAAGCCCTGAGAGCAGCACAGTGTTGAGCGAGAGAGACAAGGAAAAGGATTGTCTACTAGAGGGGGAGATGAAGAAATGTTACTCATTTAAAGGTGAAGCCACTGCTTTGTTGTGAGTCATCAGACGAGCTTGTTTATTCAGATGAGTCAAAAGCATTCAGCTCACATTTACTTTAACCAGGCCTTTGAGCCTAATGGAAAACACCGTACATGTAAAAATGTCACTTATATAGTCAGAAAGGTGCCCCCCGTGTTCATGTTTGTCGTTTCTTTTTACATGTTATCTCAATTATTTAAAGCCTCTCACAGACACGTAAATGCACCATAAGTCAGCACAGACTTGTCAAATGAGGCTTTCGACTGTATGACCACACTTTGTTCACTGTACCGACCTTAACATTGTTTTCTTTACATAGATCTCGCCTGTCTGCATGGTCATTTTCAGACAATGCTAAAAAAAACACATTTAACAATAGTTGAACACAATTGATAGTGATAAAATCCAAAACCATGTATTTTAGCAAAGTGTTTTTCTGAGACCAGAGCTATGTTTTCCTCAGCGGTTGTCAAATACAAATAATACTGATTAAGTTCAGAAAGACCGAATGTTAGTAAAAGAAACAAATCTGGATTGAGCACATCAACGTTTTATTATATTAACACAGGGAAAGTCATATCATGTTTGGTCTCCTAAACCTTGTTAAATAACTCGAGGTATTTATAAAGTTTCTCTCCCAAGTTTAAAACGCTTTTTTTTAAACACATCTTTTGGTGGACTTATAATTGAAACAGTACATTTTAGGGAGGTTGATTGGTTAGTATTTAGTGATCGTATAGTGTAGATGTGCTGCTGTTTTTCTGTGTGTGTGTTTGAGAGAGACAAAGTGAAGGGCAGGAGGGTGGAGTCAGAAGAAGAAACGGAAAGTAATCTTATCTAAGAGCTGCAGGCGGCTCTCTTTCTCTCTGTCTGTACTGTATCTCTCTTTCCCTTTTCTCCATCTCTTGCTGTCTTTTTCCACAATCTCTCTTCTTCTGGTTCTCTGGTGTTACCCCCCCCCCCCCCCTTCACCTGAACGTCCGCACCACCACCGAATGATAACCATTACAATTCAAAACGGGTTGTGTTTTGTACAGGGAGCAGCATTGACTGTTCATTGTGGGTGTGTCGAGAAGCTCCGAGTGAAAACATGACCCACAGTATCTAGAGTTAATGAATGGTCTCCTAGGCAACAGCAGCACTCAATACATTTGACTTTAAATGACCATGTCTGTGCAGTGCGTGAGCATGCATAAAGTAAAAGTGTGCTTTGCAACTTCATTTCAACTGGAATTACGCAATTCTCTTAATATGTCTTCAAGAGGAATGGAACAAACTGAGAGGCATCAGTAGTGACTGTTCAGGACCATAATGCATTGCTCTCGGGCAAATAAATAGGCCATTAAGCTGGCATGTTGGAGGCTGAGCAGTAACTAGCTTTAAAGGGAGCTGACTCCCACGCACAGCCAACCCTGCAGAGCCGGCTGAGATCTTAGCATGGGAGAAGAGTCACAGCCGCAGATTTAGCCTCCTCCATCGTGCATTTGAACAGAAATCAACTGGCAGGATGGAAGCAACTTTTGTCCGTTTGACATGTCAAAGGCAAATTCAAAGATTTCCTGTGATGCAAAGTTATCTGCAAATTTGTCTCGCGGATGTTTTTTGCACCCATTCGGCGCTGTTTCTGTCTCAGAGGTTGCTTTGAACACGTGTGCGATGGTGTCGCGGTTGATTCTGTAATCTATCCGTACATGCTGCGGAGCAGGCGCCCTGTGGCTTGGCATTAGCATACTGTAGGGTTACTTTGCTCGTGTTTTACAAGGAAGAAGGCACTTGTAGATGGAGAGGGAGGAGGACGAACCAAGAAGCGAAAGCGTCAACCTTCACAAGCGTAGCATCCTTCCTGTTTTCCGACAAAGACTTAGCCACTGCTAGTTATTATTTACGATGGGTACATTTATGGAATAATTTCATTGAGGGAAGGTTACTCAGTTCTTCAAGGTGACAAAGGATACGTTTAGCACTTAATGAATCGGGCATGGGCCTCTCCCCCATATATCAGCATGTTATTAAGACATTTTAAAATCCCATTATGGTGTTTCTCCTTGAACATGTCATGCTTTTATTGGACTGCCCTGTCTTTAAATCTGACCTTTACAGTCCGACTCTGGTATCGAACAGCAAAAAGATACATGACAGGAAATAGAAGGAAATATATACAAATGTAGGAATAAAAACAGTGCTTTTCCATCGATCCGAATCGGATGCCTCGTAACGGTTTCAAGCTGTAAAAAGATGCTTAAATAGCAGCTACAAATTATTTACTGTTAAAGGTTGAGTGTGGTAAGAGGTTACTTTAATGTTCCTTTTAAACTTTTGGCCCCATTTAATTATGATATGTGTTTTTTTTATTGTTAAATCTATTTGTTTTGGACTGAATCATAGAAGAAAGGGCACTGGCATCAAATCAACGCACATAAATCACATAAATGATATTGCCAGCTCTATGCTCCGCTACAGTACATAATATTATATGTGCTGTGTGTGTGGGCGGGTTTGTAAACCATATGCATGCTAAATAGGTGACTAGGAGGCATGTGTTAAATTAAAGCTGTAACAAACATATTGTAAATCACAGCTAGGTCTCTCAAACTCCTTCCTATCTGGTGAAATTGTTCAGCTTGAACAACAATAATGGAAAAAGAAGGCGGTAAAATTGAGGAAGGAGGAGAGCGTGACACAAAGGCTGTGATGACAGAGGCATCTAATCCAGGCAATGCCATTCTTATCAGGGTCCAGTGGATTAGAGTGAGCCTCCTAACCAGAGAATCTTCCCAGGCAGACACTCTGCACAGCCCAGGGGCCGGATCAATAGGCCTGCATTGATCTCGCTCCTCCTGTGGCTGGATTCACTTTTAGTAGGACTGCCTCGGCCTCTATCACTTAGACACACATCGGCAGCCTTCTCCCTGCACCTGCCATGAAATACCACAAATACAAATGGACTTTCAGACACACACACTCCTTATTTGATATGGGGAACAGAGTTGTTTTGTTTACACTGAATAGCAGGCAGCAGAAACACTATGGTGTCAGGTCAACTTAGCCACATGATGGTGCTTCTGTTTTCTCTCCAGCTAAGGCACTTTGATCAGTGTCGCAGAGCAGCCATTGGTATGGGACAGAAGGTCTTGACACGTCTTGTTTTGTGGCCTTTTGTTGTAGCAACGACATCGCTAACCTCTCTGTTCTCTCTCCTCCAGATGACTCGCCCCATCCAGGTGAAACCGGCTGACAGCGAGAGCCGTGGAGGTAGTTGTCTTCTTTTCTCCATCATTTATTCATGTCCCCTTTTCATCTGCCTTATCTAGGCTAATTCTTTTCATTCTTTTCCTCTGATCTCATCTGTTCCACTGCTCGCGATGCTATATTTCTTCAGCCAACACTCTGTTTTATCTTATCCCAATTCCTTTATCGTGTTGCTGCGCTTACATACATAACGGTAGCAGTTCTACCACTCTTTCAGAAACTTGAAACCACACTGCATCTGAATGTATATTTAACACATAACGTGATATCAAACACAGATATTTCATTGGTTTGACTGCCAGTGGCAGTTTGTAGAAAGGTCTGTAATCTCACCTCATATTTTGTGTAGCGTTATGTAGTATTTGTTTCTGGTACAAATCCTTTGGGTTAGTGGATTCATCTCCCACGGTCTCATGCTGTGAGTGCCCTTGTACTGGATGTAATTGAATTAAGAGTCTGTGTTATTTAAGTATGCAAGGCTGTGATGGGTTTCCCCGCTGTCCATCTCTCTTTTCTTGTTCCCTATGCCAAGTCGCCATTATTGTTTGCATTGTAAATTACACAGTGATTAGGCTCAATGCAGTAACCTTAGCCCTGCAAGGCCCCGTTCAAAACCCACTCTGCTAGATCTGTGTGCCGCTGAAACACAAGAGTAAATGGTATAGAGGGACAGAAAAATAGAGCAAAAGCACATACAGCTTGCCAAACAATCAATACATTTGCAGGGTTCTTGCCAAGATCCTCATTACTTGGCCTTAAATCTGTCGTCTTTGATCTCTCCCGTTTTCAGAGGCTTTCATTTACTCCCTGCCTATCTGCATATATGTTAATGGGATGAGGAGGCATCCTTTAAGTCACTGTCAGAAACAATGAACCTTGCTGTTCTTTTTTGGTGTGCATCTAATGTGTCACCCCGTAACGAAGCAAGTCCCTTTTTGTTCTTGTTTAAAAGGAGCGTTGTTTCAAGTCTTTCTCTTTTTTCCTGTGGAAGAAGAGAGAGATTTTGGAAGTGAAAAACTGGCAGGGAAAGAAAATGCAAGCCTGAGGCCAAGTGCATAGTGTACATCTGCCTCGCTGCACTTCTGAGGCTTTACCTAAAAACCTCTGCCATTTTTGGGTGAATTGGGATGGCTGGCCACTTGGCTGCCTGTCAAATGCACACAATCTTCAAAGGACAGCGTAACCCCTTGAGATGGATGGAGGAAAGGCCAAGAAAGATCACTGTCAGTCCTCCATGTTCTCTTTCTTTCCTTCTCTCTTTCTTTGTGTTCACCTCATTGTCCCTCCTTCTCTCAACCATTCATTCGGAGCTTTAGGGGAGTGGTGAGACAAGCAAAAGGGTCTTGTGCTGTTAAGATTGATGTCCCCTATAGCTCCATTGATTTTGCCATTGTGGTGCTGTGTGTCCACATTAACAATGACACTCAGCTGTCTCTTTACTTGGTTGTGAGTGGCTGGATTTAAAGCTCCCATGGCACTTTGGTCCGTATGGGGTCCTCTTACTGGCCGGCCGTGGGGACCCCACTGAGGAACAAATGAGTGCTGGAACAGACCTGAGAGTTGCACATCATCTTAAATGACCAGGTCAGAGTGGCGCTGCAGGGGCAATCAAACACAAGCATGACTTTAACAGGATAGGAGGCTGACGTGAAAGATGGGAGAGGGAATGTTCGTAAATGGATCTCATCTTCATTTTGATCTTGTATTCTCATCCTTCCTCTAATTTGCTGGCTTGAATTCTTTCTGCGATCATCCTTGGCAAAGATAATTCGCTTTTCTCCATATCTGGTTCTGTCTTCAGCTGATGGACGGTGCTGCTGATGCGCCTCCATGGCCTACTTTTACAAGGCTTAGCTTCTTATTTGCTGTAAAAGATTAAAGAGAATTTTATTCCACGAGCTGTCTGAAATTGCCAGACCCTTTAATTATTGCTCTCCTTATTTCACATTGTGACAATTGGCAAGATTATATATATTTTTTTTTTGGGTCGCTATTTGCCTGCTGTCACTGGAACCCAGATCAATATCTTCAGGAATATAACTCAGCATGGTGTACAGGAGCTGGAGGAGTGGATGGAGCAAATATTAATTAGCCTCTCAGTGCAGTGGAGGGAGGGCCACTGGGGACAGAGCCAGGCTGGCCTGCTCTCTCAGGGGCCACACGGCTAGTCTGATAGGGGGCATCTATTCCTCAGTGCACACAGTCACACCACAGCACACAGTCATACTAATTAGTCCCTTGATCTCATTATGAGGAGGACTGTTCCGATCACCTCGCTAGCTTGGCTGTCCATTAGGGAAAGACCTGTTACTGGTTTAATGCCTGCTGGACCTGCGCTCCTCCAGGACCAACTCTCTGCTGTTATTAAGACCAGACAGGCCCAGAACACTACTTTCCCTGGTTTCTGTACAATATTAAACGGCTAGCCTATACTGATCAAACTGGAAGACAGTATATCATATTTTTCACCAATTCCACTAAATATTTAAGGGGCCCTATCTTGCTCATTTTCAAGTTCATATTTTTATATTCCACTACTGTGACATCTCTCCATGCTTTAATGTTCAAAAAGGTCCAGTCTGCTCTGATTGGTTAGCTGGCCAGCTCTGCTCAGAGATGTCCCGTCCCTTAGCCTCACGTACGATGTGTTGGAGCGCTAGCCAATAGAAGAGCGAGTTTTACATAGTGATATCACTATGTAACGGAAGTGTGGGAGAGAGAGAGAAACTCCCTCTGGAGGGAACTCAAGGATTTTAGCCTAAAAAAACAACCCATTAAAGAAGTAAGTAAACAAATGAACATATTGAAGTAGCGGCCAATTATAATGTATTCATGTTATTATATTATAATAACATGAATACATTGTAGAAAAGTGTATATTGCACATAACAATGATTATCTCTCAACACTGGCATGACAGGCTGAAGTAATGAAGTATCAGCCAATAGTAACAATGAGAAATTGCAAAATAGTTGATATTCAATCAAAACTGAGACTCCGGATATTTTCATAGCTTTCACCGTATCAGAATCAAACTAGTAGAAATGAAAGCACATCAGGCCACTAGGTAACTCTACTCAGGCCATACGAGTAAACCACCTTGCCTATAGAAATTAAAGGGAAATATACGGTAGAGTAAATCCATCCCAACACTCAGTCAGCCCCTGCTGCCGCCTAACAAAGACACACTGTGAAATGAATATTAATGGCCAATCACCTGCCTAATCTAGCAGAACAGCAGCCGCCACATATTGAGCCACGAGCACCGCGAACGTCACCGATGACGCAGAGCATTCTGGGATGTTTCTGCTGCGGAGGCGTTGACAGAGGTGCAGCGAGGAGGCAGCGGGGACCTGTCTCTCTCGTTTTCTCCTCACAGGTCTCTGATATGAAATAGATTGATTTTCCATCACATATGGCACTGATGACTGGCACTGACTGCTGCTGATATTTCATTTTTGAAGGGCTGTTCAGCGCCTCCTTAGAGGGCTTGGCGTCCTTACACGGGATAAATCAGCTTTAACCGCTTTGATTTCACCCCTGGCATCCACCATCACTATCTGCCCCTTCTTGTTTCCTTTTTGCAGGCTGACATGTCATTTGATTTGATTTTATATTCATATTTATTTAATTCGGATAATCTCAAAAGAGGAAGTTCTCCTGCTCTCTTTTCTGGCATCAGTGTGTCTTTGCATTTCTCATCACATTTCCTTGCTAAAACCATTGTTAAACATTTGAGCTCAGAGCTTTTTTCAGAAAGCAGAGAGAGGAGCAGGCTAGCTGTCAGCTGGGACTCTGTTGGTGTTGCAGCAGCGAGATCCACAGCCCACTGAGGAGGCCTGGATTAGAAACAGACTTTGGCCTTATCAAGGCATGCCTGCCGCCCACACACACACACACACACACACACACACACACACACACACACACACACACACACACACACACACACACACACACACACACACACACACACACACACACACACACACACACACACACACACACACACACATACAGCTCCGACACACACTAACACACACTCTCGCACACATGCATTTACTGGGAAGATGGAACATTTGTGCTCACACAGACGGACATGTCCAGTACATGGTCCTTAACAAAGTGACACATACACAGTTGACTTGGACAACTCGAGTTTTAAATTCAGCAGGATTTATTTTGAGTTTTGCTTCACGGCTCCGGTCTAATCACTGCCCACATATATTTTACATCAAGTACTAAGTAGTGGTGACTTATAACATAAAAGCAGAAGCAGTGCAGATGTAGGGAAGCTGTACAGAAAGAGAGAGGTAGAAATGGCACATTGTGCAGCTTAAATAGAGTGCCAGATTTAGAAGAATGTGTTTGGTTGGTGGTATGAGTAAGGCATGTCATATGTCTATGCATCATTGTAGATCTAGTCGACTGCTTGAACTAGCGCGCAGTAGGGCTGCTCGATTATGGCAAAAATCATAATCTCGATTATTTGGGTCAATAATTGTAATTGCGATTATTAAATGCGATTATTCATTGACTTTGAAAACATCCATTTATTGGAAAAAAAAAAATGTGAACAGTATGTTTTTAACAGTTGATTACCCTGAACTTTAAGTATAATTCAACTGAAAAACCAAAAAAAAAAAAAATTATAAATAAAAAAGTAATAATAAAAAAATAATCGTTTTATTTCGATTTCTTGTTTTCGTAATCGTTGCAAGCCATAATCATAATCGCGATTAAAATAGGATTACTTGAGCAGTCCTAGCGCGCAGCCTTCGCTTCATTTGATGGAATATTTTATGTTTTTTTTTCATGAGCCGTGTTCCATGTTTCCGGCTAAGCATCAGTGTTGTTTTGTGTTTGTATATTTTGTCCAACTGAAGGAGAATAAAAAAGGCTTGCTCCAGTTCACTGAGATGTGACGGAAGAAAGAGAGAGAGACAGGCAATACGTTCAATGAAGAGTTAGGACAAAAAAAGGGGAAGGATTGGGAATCTAGA